GAGCGAACATTCCTGGCTGTAGCCCTGCTCCTCACGTTAGCCCGAGATAGACGGGCTCACCGTGCCTGACCTGGGGCCACGCCGGGACTCTTGCCAGCCTCTCCTGGGGCTTCAGCTGCAGCAGGAGGGCTCAGGGTCAGCTGTATCGTGCTGTCCTTCTCCTCACCACCTGTGTTCATGCAAGCCTCAGCTCTTTTGTTCATGCCTTCCCCCAGTCTGCAGGTCTGGGGTGCAAGCCGTCCTCCCTCCCATCACCGCCTCTCCCTCTGAGCCAGGGGCTACCACATTTTACTGCACAGTAGAACCACCTGGGGGACTTTTTAAAAAAATCCCGATGCCCAGGTTGCACCCAGAACCAACTCCCTCAGAATGTCTGGGGGTGGGAGTCAGGCATCGGTAGCTTTAAAAGCTCCCACGGAAATTCACCGTGAACAAGGCTGTCCCCGCCCCGGTTCCCAACCCTAGGTACACATAAAATCACCTGGGGGAGCTTTCCCAAAACCCGCAGGCCAGGCCCCACCCCTCAGGTTCTGATGTAACGGGTCTGGGGTGGTGCTGGTATAGTTTTAAAAGCTCCCAGGTGATTCTGATGCACAGCCGGGCCTGAGAGCCACCATTTCCCAATTCATCAAGTGCTTCCATTAATACTTCGTCACTTCCACCCCGAGATACCCTCTGGCCCGGTTCACCATCGACCCCATTTCTCAGATAAGAAAGCAAAGGCCCAGAGAGGTCACAAAGCGTGCCTCAGGCTCGCAGGGAAGCTCTACACTCTTCTGGATTCTGCTCTAGGCCTCCTTCCCCCACCTGCTCCTACAGCCCAAACATCTCCCTCGGGGCTGCGGAGACGTACCCCTCTCCCCAGTTCACCAGCGCGGCGGGAGACGTTTGCGAATCCCGAGACCTGGGCGTCTGGGTAGAGCCTACGGGGGCTGACCAAGGCCCTCTCCCTCCCGCCCCTCCCAGACCAAGAGGTGACTCCAGAAAGCCCCTCGCCTTTGGCGGGCTAGACACGGGAGGCCCCAGATACCCATCTTGCCCCAGCTCCAGTCTCACCTATTCCCATCCTCGAGTCAGGCCTGGTGACCTGTGATCAGGGTGAACTCACCATTTTCCAAGGCCACTTGGGCGCTTTTAAGGATAAAAGGGATGTGTTCAAAAATTATGCCCAGGAGAAAAGGGGTGAACAAGAAGCTCGGTCACCCATGAAGGTTCAGTCTCCTGTGCTCAGGCATGTTTGCACTTCTTGAACCTCCCCTGTGATCACTGCCTGATGAAGGCACTTGCTGTGCAGCCTTCGGCAAGTTGCTTGGCCTCTCTGACTCCCCGTAGTATCCTGTATAATACGGGGACCACAAAAGCCCCTAGAGCTGTTTTAAGAGTGAAGTGAGATAATGTCTGTAAAGTATCTGGGACACAACAGAGACTTGACACACAGTGGTATTTATGGTTATTAGCTCATCCAGGAACACAAGCCCCCACATAAGACAAATACACACATACGCCTTCTCCCTTAGACATACCAACTCATGCACATACACAATCACGCACACCCGTGTGTGCACACACACACCGCCACATACACCCACACATGAGCTTGCCTGCTGGGCCCCGGGGGATACCCATGGTCCTAAGTGGCCAATATTCCTGATTCCCAGAGAGCCCTGGCCACCAGAGGGCAGCATCCACCTCACCTGCCCACCAACCTGATCCCGCTTCCTCCTCCCCCAGCCCTGGGGGTCTCCCCACCGCCTAACATTCCATGCAGCATGTCCCTGCACCCAGTCAGGTGGCCCTGTGCTCATCTGGCCCTCCTCCCAAGCTACACAGAATAGCCCAGAAGGGTACAAGAGGGACTTCACCACCCTCACATAGGTACCACTCATGTTGAAGACACCCGGAGCCCCCTCAAAGTCACTGAGGCAGGATCCTGCTGCAGGACTGCCCAGACCGAGAGCACACAAGGACCCACACCTGAATGTATACAAACGTGAACACACCATGATGGCTACCCTAGGGGACTTAGGGCCTGGAGCTCAGACCTGAGTTCAAATCCTGCTCAACCACCCTCCATCTATGAGAACTCAGGTCCCTTTACTTGTCTTCTCCTAGCCTCTTTTCCAATCTGTAAAACGGACCCATTGTCCCATCCTCCTGGGGCTCATTCCCTATCCTTTTCAGGACTATGCCCGAAAGCCACCTTTACAGGAAGGCCATCTCTCTTTTTTTTGGTTTGTTTTGTTTTGTTTCTACTGCACATTTGCTTTCTGGCATATTCTAGAGTTGATTTATTTATCTCGATTAAACGTTTTCCTACTAGGATAAAAATTCCAAGAGATGTTTGACTCTTTCATTCGGTGCTATATCCACAGCGCTTAGAACAGGGCCAGGCACACCCTGAGAATCAAACTGGCGTTCGTTGAATGGCTGATGGAACCGAGAGGTTTCTGCACAATGCTCGCACCGGTGAGCTTCTGGACTCCCACACAGGGCAGCTGGGGTCAATTCTGTGGGCTCGTCCTAGGGACATCCAGATGGACCCCGAGGTGGCCACGGGCCGGAGGGAAACTCTGCCGAGATCCAGGAGCCCCTTCCCCCCACCATCCCCAGCAACATCAAGGATGCATGAGAGCACTTTGAGTTTCTCGGATTCTGAGCCCTCCCACACCCAAGGCCTCCATCCAGAATGGCCCTGAACCGCCCCCTCAGACCCCGCCCCCAGGCTCCACCCCCCCCACGGCCCGCCCCACTCCTGCGGTAGGGCCAGCCCCCCACCCCCCAGGCGCAGCCTGGCCCCGCCCCGCGCGTGCTCACTGGTGCACTTCTTGACGTGGCTGCCCTTTTTGAGCGCGTGGCGGCTGAGCTTGCAATGGAAGTTGTCCTCCCAGAACTCGGCAAACCAGATGTTGCGCCGGTTGTTGTCCAGCGTGCGGCTGGAGAAGTAGCGGTCGAAGCCTGGCAGGGAACCAACCAAGACGTCAGGGCCTCGCGCCCCCCTTCCCCACCTGCCCCCGGCCCTTGCCGCCTCCGCTACCCAGAGATTTAGGGATGGCCCAAGCAGAGGGAGGGAGGAAGGGAAGAGCGTAGCCTCTGATCCAGGGCCCGGCCGGGGAAAAAAACAAAATGTGGAGCTTTTCGTTTCATTCAAGATGAAAAGAGCTGTATTAAGTCCCAGGGGGAGCACGTGTAATCTTACAACTGCTGCCTTTATGGAAGAGAAGTGCCCGGTGAGGTGCTTTGCCTTTTAACCACCAGAATGCTAATATCGGGCCTCTGTGTGAAGGAGCCACCTGGGCGTCCTGCGATCAGAACAGAGAGTCTGGTGGGGGCTGCCCAAAGCTGGGAGCACCTAAGCTCTCTGGTTCTGAAAAGAGCAGACGAGAGGGGAGGGGATGACCCAGGTCACACAGCAAGACCAGGGCCTAGATCTTCTGCCGTCAAGTTCAGAACTGCCCCATCGTTGACAGACACGGCTTCCTCCTTCAGATGTTCCAAAGAGGACTCACCAACACAGCTCTAAGCCCAGAACCAGCCCCCGCGCCCCCGGGGTGGGCAGGCTGGCGGGTGAAGAATGCCTCGGCTCTCCTCCCAGTGCCCCTTCTGTATTGATGACTGTTCCAGGTAATGTGCCCAGTTGACTGGGCTCTTTGGGGTGGGCCAAAAGTTCCAGAAGTTCAGTAGGGTCCACACCATGTGGTGAGCTTCCTGTCTAGGGCCGGGTTCAAGTGGAGGCTCAGTGGCTGTAGGAGCCAGCTGCAGGAGAAAAGCTGACATCGGTGAGGGACTGGGCTAGGGCAGGGTCTCCCAGCCTTGGTGCTCTGGACACTTGGGGCCCCATCATTCTCTGTTGTGGGGAACTGTCCTGTGCAGTGCAGGATGTGAACAGCATCCCTAGACTCCACCCACTCGATGCCCGTAGCATCACTGCCTCCCCCCCCCCCCCGTTGTGACAACCAAAAATGTCTCCAGACATTGCCAAAGGGCATTTGGGGGTCAAATCACCCCCAGGTGAGAAGCACTGCTCAAAGTCTTCTCTAATATCCCAGAGAGGAAAGGGACTTTGTCAAGCAAGTTCTGGGGTTCTAATCCCAGCTATGCGACTTAATAGCCACTATATGTCACTTAATCTCTCTGAGCCTTAATGCATTCATTTACTAAATGTGGATAAAAGTGTCCTGTGGGGTTGCTGAGAAGACTAAATGAGATGTCTACCAATAGCCAGAGTTACTGTTATTTTGTATTTACTATGGCTCGAGGCTGAGAACGGTAATGTGGAAACTTCTGTGGCCTGTACTCCCTCTGCCTCAGGGCAAAGAGAGAACACTGCTGCGTGACCTTGAGCAAGTGCCTCCCATGCTCCGGCCTTGGTGTCTTGGAAAGTTCGGTGGAGACGGATGTCTGCAGGCCTTCCCAGCTCCATCAGTGCTGGATTCTATTTAACGAAGCAAGAGCAGGGGAGAAGGCTCTGGGAGCCTGCCTCCCCTGTGGTGAGGACAGTGAGATCCCTGCCAAATTGGGCCATTAATGGGAACTTCACGCCTCACTCACAGCGAGGTTCTAGCCAGGGCAGCCCGTCCCTGCCCAGGGTGATTGTGGGTTCTGCCCCAAGAAGAAGGGATGCCGGGCAGGACAGGCCCAACCCCAACACCACCCAGGGCTTGCCAGACCCAGGCAGCCCTGCAGGGAGAACCCTGCCCCCCCACCCCCACCCCCCGCACAGCACCCTCT